TTCTGGTCGAGTGCATTCCTGTAGCAATTCCCCGAGTGCTTTGCCAGATTAACTATGCCTTTTAACCGTGTTCTTTGATCTCCACTGACGTCGGCACAACCATTAAATCATAGGTCATCTTCAAATACCATTTACATATATTAAAATTGAAAAAATAATTCCGCGTCTGATTAGTCTAATTTGACTCGGCTACAACTATAGTCAATACAGTAGGCGGCGGTGCAACGAAACCCACCGTAAATGGTTTCGAATGTGAGAACACACGTTTTTAAGGTCATACTGTAAACGTAAACCGTGGTGAAAGCCGTGACATTTAAGCAACATTAGAATAATCCTCAGGACCTTAAAGTAGACATGAAGGCTATAAAAAAAGAGATTATGTTTAAAACCAAAATGTTATGAATATAACATTTTTTTTTCCGTCATCGTAACATAGCCGTACATTGAGTTGCTCGTAAATTATTGTAGAACACGATTTGCGTCGTAAAGGTTTAAAAAACGTGTAAAGTAGAACGTAAAAAATACGCCATAACTTTGATTTTGATCTCATATTTACACAACAAAGTGTGAGATTACATTTATTAACAGTTACATCATCTTTTTGTAAAATGTTTATGTCACTTTTTTTCAAGCGAGGAACGTATGGCTTTAAAGGAAGTGGGAGATTTGACTAACGAAATCTTTGTTATCTCAGTCTATTCATCTATGTTACAGGGATGGCCGGTTTTATCTATGAGGATAATATCGTCAACATTATAAATTAGTGTTACATACTAACGTTGAAAATTAAACGTTAAGTATTATAGCATAACATTTTGTTTAAATTACGTGAATTGGTTACGAAAATGTAAGCAGTAAAAAGTTACTTTGGTATTTTTTTTTACAAAATACTAGCTGTTGCTCGCGACTTCGTCCACGTGGTATAAAATAGTAGTTAAAAACATAGCCTATGTTACTCGGTGATAACGTAGCTTTTTAATGGTGAAGAAATTTTGAAATACCAGTAGTTTTTAAGTTATTTCAATACAAAAAAGATACAAATCCTTCCTCTTTATTATATTAGTATAGATGTCTATCCAAAGTTTATAAAAACTAACATTGGTTTACAATTTGAAAGATATAAACTAAAAAACAATCTTACGCCACAGTGTAGCTCACTTCATAGACAATTCACGAACTCCCTGAACAACATAGTAGTTAATTTTCCGGAAATGAAAGCCTAAATTTTGCGTTGCGCTGAGAAACGAGGCACCTGTTGTGCGCCGTATTAATTTATAAACCTCGTAGGAGAATTGTGCATAATTTATCAAATTAAGTAACTGAATAT